AAAGGTATCAAGCTAAAGGGGTTAAATAGTGAAGTATATCGTTACGATCCTTCAGGAATATAAATTACTCATAAAAAGGTGTACTCATAAATTACTCTAGCCCCTTTCCATTAAATTAGCTTCAATAAATCAAATTGGTTTCAAAAATTCAATAAAACCCCTCATTAACTTTGTAAGTAGCCGTTCATAATGGAAACTGTGGCCAAAAAGTGTATAGTGGAATCGAACCCTGAACTCTGCTATGAGAAGTCCTCACTAATCCACTACACTATACACTACGCTGACGTGACACGGCCTTTCACGTCAAAGTTTACTCGTTAACATGTCATTGAACAGGTTGAACTCGGACACTAACTTTATTCCACATCTACAATCTCGTTTTATTTGGTTAACTACCAATGTTTATATTGGTTATTACTAGTTTATATTTGTTACCTGTTGATTTCACATGTTTTAACCTAATTTGCTGGAGTTTACATGTAACTTCTTCGCTAGCGAGTCTAGACAAATTAGGTTAGGATCTCTAGAAAAGCAGCTCAAAGTAGTAAACAAAAAAGAAAACAAACAGCAACACCGATCCCAACCTTTGAAACCTGAAGAGGAATCGATGGCGTAACTCACTCATAGACTCAAAGTATAAACCAAGCGAGAAACGTCACGTGCACGAGAATCACACATTTCTTTTTTTTGTTTTATCATTTTTATTATTGTTGCTACCATTACTCTTTATTATTACTATTATTGTTATTATTATTACTGTTATAACTGTTATTATTTTACTAGTATCATTTGTATAATGACAAAAATTATTCCTGAAGAGTACGTCTACATTCGGCTGATTGTGCTTACTATTATGTTGTAAGACTGCTGAAGGAAATGGGCGGAAACCTCGTAAGTGGGCGTGCCTTACACATCTAGGTGATATTGGCGATTTGAATTTTTGACGCTCCCACACTACTGAGCAGCAGTTCCTTGGGATTACTATGGAAATTTGAGTTTCGCCGAGAAATACGATTTAGTCTCGCTTCTCGACTCGGAGCTACATGAGCAGATAAGATGAGATGGAGATTCCAATGCAGGACGATCCTGCACAGAAGTAGAAAGGGAAATCCCACTGAATGAGTTCAAACCCACCCATCGATGAGCACATCTCCTATATGCTCATATGTATAATAGATTATTGTGACTTGACACGATCCAGGTTAAGGAAAACATTTCTTCCCGACTAATTTTTCTACTGCACAACTTCTCTATCACATGGGGAAGGGCAACTAAACTTGGAGATATTTTGTTCATAAACAGTTTTTTTTCTGAATTCTACGGGGGAGTTTTATATAGAAACATGCTAATTAGGCACATTCTCTGCATTGACTGCTTGTTATTCTCTTAAAAAAAGCCCCTAGCTGTAGAGGAAATCTAATAGGTATGAGCTTATAAAAATGTAGTAAATCAACCCACTCAACGTTATTACCAGCTGCTCATTACATATTGACTAATGTGGGTGGAAAAAGTAATCAGGTTACTACCATTTAATGCAAACCTACATACATAAATCTTTTGCGACAAATTTAAGACGTAATGGTCGTGGGCGTTAGTTATTGCTTTCAATCAGGAAGTTTACCGAATCATCAGTGTTAGTATACAAAGTATTCTAGAGATCCATTAAGAACTTATAGCCTGGAAATTGCTGGATTTTTCTCGACCGAAATTCCATTTTGCTGGATGCGCCATATCTTCACATTCTATTCAAAATCATGAAAAATTGGGGGCATTTTACACTTTTTCCGCTAAAATCGTGCAAATCCACTCTCAAATCCGAACCTATGCCTGTGAAGGTAAGTTTCTCTTAAGTTTAGGTATCTGGAGTAATCGAGTTCGAGACATTCTGAACCATTTCTTATCTGCTATTTTTTTGCGCTTCCTGACCGAAGCAATCCAGGCAGGTTGCGCTTCCTGACTGAAGGAATCCAGGCGGGACCAATCATTTCCTCGAATCAGAATAAATTGAGCGCTTGTGTAGAGTTCGCAGGCTACACACTGTTCCTCCTACCTATTAATTACCCATGATGTTAACAAATTTCACGGTTTCTCAGAGAAGCCCAAAATCCACCGTCTCAAATAGTATCGTTGCCATGGAGCTGTTTCATCGAATACTTAACATCATCCTCCCAAATTTCTTGTGAAAGAGGATTTCATCCCATATTAGGATGAGCGGCACATTCTGAGGAGAGTTCCCTTAAAGTGCAAATGGCAGGTGATGTGTATTTATGACGAATTTTCTGAGAACAAACTCCCTACCCAATACCGTCACCCATGCTCATGACTTGGGAAAAGCTACTTGACTGGATGAAAACACTGTCTAAATCCCTGCGGTTTATCGCGAAAGCATCTATGGAAGCTAGAAAATGAATGCTTAGTAGGATTTGATTAAGTGGGTATGGGCGGGCAGACATTGGGGAATAATCACCTGGCGCTTTACTTGGAAAAGTCAGGGATTGGTCAATTCACTTTTTGGATGCGCCAAGTTTTCTACTCCTTTCCCGTAATTATCAAGTTAGCAATGAGTTTAATGCTTAGTCAGCATAGTCGATATTCGAGCCGGGGTTTCCAACCGCGAAGCACCCCAAGTGTGGTTCCGGCGCGATCTGCCCCTCTTTCTCCCCATTCATCCCCTCCCTCTGTCCTTTTCCCAATCCCATCAGAGCCATTCCAAAATAGGGCACGAAACTTGGTTATGCATGAATCGCAGTGGGAAATGTATAACATGAATTTATTCTCGCCTTTTTCTTATCGAAAAAAACACTAGAGGGACAGCTATTGATGCAAAACAGCCGAAGATGAAAAAAATGTGCCCATTGGGGAATTCGTGTGAATGCTGGCATGTTTCAGGGTGAATGAAAAGTTCAAAAGATATGAAAAGAAACGCTCATTATGAATCATTATAATTTTCCAGTAATCATAATCCAATTGAGCTAACCTGCGAAGATCAGTCTGAGTATGAATAACTTTATTTTTGAATTTCGTATTATTCTTTAATTTAATTTTTATTTCGACTGAATTGAAATCTACCTGAGGTGAATATCAAGCACTCCTGGCTTTCAGTCTCTTACAAAGGCCACTTGGTCAAAACATAGACTAGAAAGCAAGCCCTTGGTCCGAGGACTTCGGAGCCGATACTTCAAAAAATACTTGAACAATCACGTCGTCTACGTGCTCCAAACATGAATGCTCAAAGTTTTTTTCTGGAGAAAATCAGTGCCTTTATTTCACTGTTGATGAACTTCCTTCAAAATATTGTTGGCTGGGACAGGCTTCTAATGATAGTGATTGTTAACTTTATCAGAATCCTTGAAGATGATTCAATTGGTCTTTGATACTTTGCGCTTGGAATTCACTTGAATTGGAACTCTGCAGTAAATAACAATCTTTGATGACGATCTTGATATCATCCCATGGGGACCCTAAGTCAGACTGCTTTGACATAACAGATCAGCCAGATGAGCACTTATCGTCAAATATGAGAACCGGAACAGCCCCTAGGAAAACCTGATCAATAAATACCAAGAGTTGGGAATGTTTTGGTACTAGGAAATCCCTTCTCCTAAGGTCTTGTGGAAGGATTCCTCAAAATGCCTCTTCTGCGATGTGAGAAGATAAAATTTATTAGGCCGACTCATAGCCTAAAATGTTTGACGAATTTTGCGACTACCCGATTAAAATCATCTTCACAAACCCTTCCAAAAATGGAATTTATCCGAGCGGTACGGAATCCAAAGTTCAATTGGGAGCTATATCCCTCCAAGCGAGAGCTCTCTTCACCCCCATATTTTCGTTCAAAATACTTTTTATCCCTTCCTCTTTCATTCTCGCTGGATATCCTATTTTTCTCCTCCTCTACTGCTCTCAAAAATTTATAGAGCGCCGATGGGACCTTTTTAAGCTTGTACTTTTGAAGGCGCAAGTTTGAGCAGAAGGGTTTTGAGCTACTTAAAGAAGCCTTTCCTTCTTTGAAGCAGACGAAGTAGGCCTATGAAAAAACCTTCGAGCTGCTGCGCCATGTTTGCAAACCTTTCGCCTACTGAACACCTAAGATTACCAGTTTCACGAATATAGAATGCATTCCTAATCTTGCTGACTGACATTCAATCTGATAGCAGCATTTTCTATGCATTTCCAATGAATTTTGGGAAAATAAGAGGACACACTGAGATCGTAAGATACGGCTGGACATCTTGGACATATGGACCGCTGAGGTAGGTCTCTGGCTTCAAATTTGCTGAATAGCCAAACTCTAAAAAAGTAAATCGTACCTGTATAGGCGGATAGACGTTTCGGACATAATAAACAGTTCCAGGTGGTTCCTGTTGCGGACAGTACAATATACCATCCGCCTGATATTCGCAATGTTCCATGTCAATAGCCGACATGACCCGACTGTACCTAGGAGCAAAGATCTCGTATTCAACCACCATCACTGATGACCACGTAGGCAGCCGAAGAAATCTCTTTCGGTACGAGGTAATACGACGGTACGAATACGATAGATACAGGTGGAATACAATAATACGGTAGATTTACGGTAGCGAATAGAATGAACAGTCCGACAGTCAGGCGATGAGGAAGACAGTTGTTGTTTATTAGGTGAAAATCAGTTAGGACACAGTTGTAACCGTAGATAGTCGAATGGAGCAAAACGAGGTGGAGGGCGGGGCTATGATGGGATCAAAATGGGCTACGTTGGCTCAGCTCCGCCCCGTATACAATGGTGCCATTACAAGAAAGCAAAGCAGATGTGGTAATAATGAGTGGTTTATAGGGTCTTTAAGTAAGGCTTAATCATCCGGAAAAGTGAAGAGCTCTAAAAGGATTTATATATAGAACAGAGAAAACAGTGTGAAGAATCGGAAATGTGGTAGGAAAAAAATCGTAATTGAATAAACCAGGATGAGAAAGCTATAACCAAGTTTTATGCCTATAGTGTGCCTTCAAAGGAACCAGGGCGGCAGGTAATACGGGAACGCTCCCAAAGTTCTCTCTTGACAGTTTTTCCACCAAGAATTCCCAAGGCAGAAGTCAGGGGAAGGAAAACGGAGGGCCTTCCGCACGTTGACTTCAGCTTCTACACAGTCAAGGAGAAGCCACAAACACAGTTCATAATAAAAGGAGAAGAAAAGGACAAAGTGGACAAGAAGCTTGTCATTAGAATAGTCGAACGATGGAATTCACCTCTGGGTCACCAGACTTCCTGTTGTCCGGCAAAGGTAAAACCAAATTTGGTTGTAAAATAAAAACCATGATGTAAATCGAACTGAAGCACGAGCACGAGTGTGAGACACAATCTCCTTGTTAGCATGATCCGCCACAAGGATTAGAGAAAAGCAGCTCTTAGACGGGCGGCGCTGCCGAACAAGGAAAGGAAATTTTCTGACATCATAGTTACAAGTTCATACAAAGATTTGTGTGTGTCCAATGATAGATAATTAGAGCTGGTACCAGGATGAGACCACGTTCGCTGGAGCTACTTACTAATTACTTTCAAAATGCCATGGACTTTCTTAGAAGTTCAATAAACTTCAGGACAGAAATTTTGCTCATGATGCCACCATGAAATTCATCGCAAAACAAAGGAGAGGTACTATTGATTCTACTTTTCTTCGGAAATAGCATTTGTTTGGATTTTGGTGAAGATTTCGGAAGGAAGTATTTTTCTTCAGAGCCTCGCTTTATTTCTTCTCCTACTTTGTTCCAGTATTCATCTCCAGAGGAATTCTACTCCCATGCTACTTCTGTGACTGGTATGCGCAAATCTGAACAAAAAAAAAAGAGCAACCTTCGAGTGGTACCCACTACCATGAGTTTGGCTCAAAAGTAGGTTGAGTCCACTATTATAAAGCCATCCCGTCAAGGTCAAGCCTGTTCCCCACCCTTCACGAACTGCCACCGAGCCGTCTTGGAGGTGAAAGCCCAGGGTTTTGCCTCGCTGTTGACATTTGGCTCGACCATACTCGTCTCCTGGTTGGAGCTGCCAGAGTTCGAACCCAATCGGAAAGCAGAAACCATGAGGTGGTACTAACGTGGCCAATCCTATCTTCTTCCGTTCCAAGATGGTTTCCATGTCATGGGTGTGGATAAACCATGAAATGTAAAGTGACTAAACTAGAATACCCATCAAAAATTGATGAGTTATGTAGCAGAGCGGACTGAAGTAGATGAAAAATTCCTGGAGTTGAAAAAATTCAGCCGATTTGAGTGAGATTTGTCTCATCAGATAGCGTAAATGCAAAGCGACACCGTACGCTATTACGTTATCCACTCCCACTTGGTTTGCTCTAGAATTTCACCCGAAATCCATGCGGCAATTTATAGCCCTAAAATCATTTTCTGAGAAACTTATGAATAGATGGGAAAATCTTGAAGAACAAGGCAGCAATCGAAAAGACTTTTTGCACAGTGTACTCTGTGCCCATATGACAGATGGGAAGGAAGCGATTGAGTATAATTGAGTATCCCTACATGAGCTCATAAAGGAAATAACAGTACAAGGGAATCCATACAATCCTTTTCATCAATATGTAGGCTAATTCCAAGTACAATGCCTACTAGTCACTAACAGTAAGAATGTGTTAGTGCATATAGCAAAGTGGATTTGCACATCAGATCCGGGAATCGATCATGGGATCGAACGTGCGGTAGAAAGGAGAAGGATGTTTCTCATCAGGCGTTGAAGCAAACTAGAGGGAAGTTCGATGAATACTTCAAACAGTAAGTAATGGTAGACAGATGCAGTTCCCGTATGGGGTGACTGCGACCCACGAGTGAACTATAGGTGTGGGCAAAGGTAAACTATAAAGTCAAACTTTTTATAACTTCCAAAAAGCAGAAATAGCAGGAAATCAGATTTTATTAATAGAAGTTAAGATTAATTTTGATGCGCCCACAAAATAAGAATCTAGCACACGAGAGGAAGCAAAATCTCAACGGAAAACTTGGAGGAACAAAAAAGAAAACAAATAAATTTGAAAACTCAAAAAGAACCAAACATTGCTAAATTCCCTCAAATTCCTAGAGTATTAGATCTTGATGCGAAGAATCCTCGAGCGTGGCAAAATTTTCCAAGTGGATTTATTCACTGATTCCAATTTAACCAAATTGTAGACTGCAAAAAAACGTAAGATGATGATATCATTGACTTTTATATGTACATGCCTTTCCTGAGAATGCTGTACAAAAGGACAAAAGGATAAAGTCTTGTGACGTTAATCGATCCCGACTGAGGGATGCGCCCCCGCACTCGACTTCAATTCAGAATCGTAGTGGCGTATT